GGGGTGCAGGAGGCCTCAGGCTCTGCTGCTGCGCGGGGCCGGCCCAGAGCCTGGAATCGGCGCTAGAGGTCTGTCTGTGCGCCTGCTGTTCCTCGTCTGCCATGCCTCGTCTGACGAGGCAGGACGGCCCGGCCCTAGGGCTCGGTGCGTGGCTCAGGCCCGAGAGGTCATGGCCTGCTCGCTTGTTAGACCACACTGCTCCCTGACAGGCCAGGTCCAGGCCTCCCCGTGAGCTCTTGAGACGGGGATTGCTGGGTTACTGCCCAGAAGCCATGATCCCTGTAGCCGTGTGATTGTTGCTCTTCCTCCCTGATTGTCCGTCATTTAAGAGCTAGACAGAATCAGCTACCAACTGCTACTGTAATGCCATGTAACAAATAACCCCTCCCACATCTGAGCGGCACACAGTAATTACTCAGTTCGTGTGTCTGCATCGGCAGGATGCAGTGGGATGCCCCCCGACCTGCTGGTCCCGTGGGGCTTGCTCCTGCATCTGGGGGTGGCTCACCTCGGCGGGGTTGGCTAGGGTGGCTCAGCGCCAAACGCCTCTCATCCTTCCCTGGGGTCCGTGCGCCAGCCTGAGCAAAAGTTCTCACACTGATGGTTGACGTGCAAGTGGGCGAGCAGAAACAGACAAGGCCTCCTGGACGGAACCTGGGGCCTGATGCGGCCCAGCCCAGTGTCAGTGGGGATGCTTCACGGTCCTTGCTTGCTGTTGTTAGACAGAGCTGAGTCTTCTACTTGAGTTCAACACATTGTCCCAAACCCTGCAGCAGCGATAAGAGAAATGAAAGACCGTGCTTTCTCCACGCCTGGCCTCGCCCTCGGGGAGCCTGGCAGGAAGGCGGGAGGACCCGGGCGATCCCTGGACCGTTGGCCCAGGCAGGCTGTTCTCTTTGCTGGCCCGACGATCGCGCTGGGAATTCCTGCCTATCGCCCTGGGCCACCTCACCGGTCCCTGCGCCGCACCCTTCAAGGCCAGACCATAGCTCCAGAAGCTTCCTGAAAACTCACCACAGCCTCCTCCTCCCAGCCCCGCACCCTCGTGACTGCTGCCCAGTCTCCCAGGCCACGCCCCGTCACTGGCAGGGTCCCTACTATCTTCTTGTCTTGCTTGCCCCCAGCAGTGTTGGAGGCCAGCCCCTGGCTCAGTGCTGGATCCAGCAGTGACCACAGAGACTCCATCATGCCCTCACAGAGCCACTGTCCTGAAGGGGAGATGGTAGTCATCAAATGGTCACACCTGTTGTGTATAATTAACTGATAAGGAAAGGAGGCGTCCTGGGTCACCTGTTAGAGAGTACAGGGGTGATGAGGTCATTAGGCAAGATCTGATGTAATGGGGGGTGGGGGCAGGGAGGCTTCCTGGGGAGGGAGGAAGGATAGGACCTTTGTGCTGAGACCTGAATGTGGTAGGAAGTTCCTCAGAGAGGCTCAGGCAGAGGAAACGGCACATGCAAAGGCCCCAAGACGGGAGGAAGCAAGCCAGGTGCCCCCAGGGAGCAGAAGGAGGCCCTGGCACCTGGACTGCAGGGAGCCAGAGGGAAACTTGACAAGACAGGCTGGGAGGCTCGGAGGGCCCTGGGGCCACGTGGAGACTTGGGGAACTGGTGGCAGCAGTGCCTGGGGCTGGGACAGGTTGGAGCCGCACAGCGTGGC